CCAAGTTATTTTAAAGGTTTGTCTACCTTAGTTGGCTCACAGCAAGATGGGGTGTGAATCTACCCCACACTTACCTGCCACAGATTGACTGTCATACCTCAACAGTTTGTCAATGTATTTTGATCTAGTCCTCTTTGATCAAAGCACATTAACAAACTATTAATGTGCGTCAGCAGGATCCACACAAATGGTTAGAGCGCGGCAGGCTAGTGTGGGGTAGATTCACACCCCAGCTTGCTGTGAATTAATTGTCCATGTAGACAAGCCCTTAGGCACTTAGGGTCCGTGTTTAGAAGCTTAGTTCACATTGAAATCAATAGAAGTTGCATGCCCAAATACCTTTGAAAATCTGGTGTTTAGGAGCATAAGGGCTGGTCTACACTGGGAATTTACACTGGCATAGTTATGTCACTCAGGGGTGTGAAAAATCCACACCCCTGAGCGATGTAGTTAAACTGACCTAACCGCTAGTGTAGACAGCGCTAGGTCAGCAGAAGAACCTCGCTACCACCTCTCGGGGAGGTGGATTATCGATGCTGACAGGAGAACCTCTCCCATCGACACAGGTAGCATCTGCACGGAAGCACTACAGCTGTGATGATGTAGATGTTGCAAGTGTAGACAACTCATCAGACTTATTGAAATGTGTTAGGTGCCTAAGGCCTTTTGAAAATTCCACCAGGTGCCTTTCTGCATCTTTGGGCACCTAAATACCTTTGGGCCCGGACTTGGATTTCACGTATAGTGATGTAAATTAGGAGTAATTCTACAGCAGTCAATGAATCAAATTTAACCTTGGTGTCAACAGATGAAACGCCTTTAAAGTAAATGGAGTTACACAAATGTAAAACCGGCTTTGAGTAAAGAACTGGTCCCATTTGAGTTACACAGATGAGTAAGTGAGATTAGAATCAGGCTGTAACAGCCTTTAGCATTTATGCAGCACTTCCCATGTTCAAAGTGTTTCATGAACATTAATTAACCCTTGCAATATTGCTGTGAACAAGGTTAGCAGAGCTAACAAAAAAAAATGTGAACAGTTATTTGCCAATAATTTATTTGCCAATCAACAAGAAACTTAACTGAATAAATTCGTCCACTGATGTTAGTCAATGAACTAATAGACTTGCTTTAATAATGGAAGGGGAAATATTTGCTGAATAATTTAGGGAACAAAAACTGCATCGAAAGAACTTTTAGCCAATATTTTTCAACTCTCTTTAAAGATAAATAGTGTTATCTCCGTATCATAGATGGGGAAGGTGAGGGAGAAAGGTCACGTAACTTGCCCTAGGCTACAGAGTGAGTCGGTGGCAGAGGTAGGTTTATACTATTAATATTATGGTAGTGCCTAAGGCCCTAACTGAGATGAGGACCCCACTGAGCTAAGGATTGTACAAACAGAGAGCAAGATACAGTCCCTGCCCCGAGTTTACCGTCTAAATAGACAAGACACACAAAGGGCTGCACAAAGCCCACTAGGGATTTTGCTATTACTTCTACATGGAGGTATTGGACACTATCGTGATTGGTCAGAGTATAATGCTAAGATATATAGATGGGGAAACAGGAAAATTGACTTGCTCCTAGACACACAGTAGGTTGTGGCAGAGTGGGGTTTAGAACTTGGGGCCTCCTGACAGGCCAGTGCCCTATGCATTAGACCACACTGTCTCAAGAAAACTCAGGACATACAACTGTGCACTCATTCTTCTAGACCATGTTGCATCTAGCTAATAACATGATCCTACGTATTTCAGATCCTACATTTCACTAGATTGCAACAACCCACCTGACTTCTCAAGCACAAAACAATAGAAGTGTAATTTCTGCTTTATTAAATTCCCTTTCCATAAGTACCTACATGTGTAATGTGCAGCTGAACAATCAAACTTTATTTGAATTAATAATGCAATGCAATGCAATACAAGCTTTAAGTTACTTTAACTCCCCTGCAACCATTAGGTGAGACCCTTGCCCCAAATACGTCATTTGGTTCATTGTTTAAAGATTAAGAACTCAGACAGAAATTAAAGCAGAACATTCTGCCTATGTCGCCATTATGAAAAGCAAATGACAGACTGCCTCAAAAGCTGGAGCTTTCATTATTAAAAAATCAATTATTTTTATCTTCAATGTATGCTAAATTTATCATGCAACATAGGACTTTGGCACCCCTCAAATATGTATGTTTGCGAAGGCAAAATTCCATGAAACATACATTTCTTCCTGTATATTTGCAAAAGACGGATGGATTAATGTGATGAAGCAGGGGTCAAATCCTTAGCCGGGGTAAATTGAGGTTTCATTAACTTCAGTGAAGCTATGCTGATTTGCACCAGCTGAAGATAGGACTCCAGCTATTCAAAGATTTTAGGGGTGCAATTCATGCTTAATTTGCAACCAAACATGAAAATTAGGCACTTGTGCATGTAAGTGCTTAATTTGTGCATTGCAAGCACAAAAAGCCATACAAATTCATGCACAGTTGCATGCCAGATTTCTTTGGACATCTGAGGTGAAACACTGGCCCCGTTGAAGCCAATAGCAAAACTTCCATTGTCTTCAATGGAAGATTTCATCCCCGATTAATTTATTAGCTACAGGAATACAGATTTATCCTAGGTTTACACCATTATTTACACCAAATATTTACACCATTAAAGCAATATTGGGATTTGGGCAGTGCCCATCAGGTAAAAGAATCTATAGTACACTTATTCTTATAGTACACATATTCTTGCTGAATTTGGAGGGGGGGATTTCTTTCTGACCCCTGTGAAGATGAAGATTGAAATTTGATTGCTCCATTTTAAATGATGCTTCAAGAAGAGCAGAGCCACAAAGCTTGGCTCTAAAGCCACATCCAAATCCAAACTTCCCCAAAGTTTGCAGGTGATCACATTCAAGGTTCTGATTCGAACCCATCTCCGCAAACAAACATTTTGCAGCCGTTGGAATTATCCACTTTTTTAATGCAGTTCTGTAACAGCCTATGAACCTGAGCACCTGCTATGGGAAGAACTATTTTCTTTTATTAGTTATCAATTTAGTTACCACTGATTTAATCAAGCAACCTCATAATTCTCATGTTATGGGGCAATGGCGACGTATCAAGAGGAAGAAGTGGATAGCTTTCACTACACTTCAGAATCATACACTAACATCAAGAACCAAACCCTAAAACGCTTGATTAAATGGGAACTATTCTGGCATAGCATGAAAACTGAAAGACCAAGCTGTAGCCAGAGAAATAATTAACTATCTTCCCTTTGGGATATGATAATTGCTGAACTGTTTGACAGCCTCTCCTGATACTGAGCACTCCAAAAGAGAACGATGGTCATTTGAAAACATTAAAGACCAAAAGAAAGTCTTTGGGCAAATGAGTTAAGTCTATTCAAATGCCCAAAGATCATTTATTTTCCTGCTCCATTTTTTCTTGCTTACCCTTGTTTTCCTTTATGGTTTTTGTCCTCGGCAACCTCGACTCATGTAAACCAGTCTTGGTGAATTTCTGCCAGTCAGGGTTTGTTGCCAATGAGTTTTAGTCCATGAAAACAGATTGCCTAAAAGCTACGTTGTGCCATCTTGCCCACAGCCAGTAGGACAAATATTTAGACATTTAGGAATAGATTTTCCAAAGGCATTTCCAAATTAGGCACCTGATTCCCACTGACTTTGGATGGGAGCTGGAAATCTAACTGCCCTTTCAAAATCTCACCCTTCAAAATGATTCTTTAAAAAATAAATGAATGTTTGTGAAAAGTGCCACACTACCGTCTCTGGAGTCTAAATTCTTTCATCTATCCCCGCAATGGTAAAGCATGAACGGCAACAGTGCAAGCTCCTTCACCCCAGATTCTGCCTTTGAGATGAGACTTCAAACAAAAGTATTGACTGCATTTGGGTCATTAAATAGGCTCTTGACATTTTCACAAGGGCCAGGGTGTTAACCCCTACCATACCAGTCAAATTTCAATTCAAGTAAATACGTTATGTCAGCCTCATATCTTCCCTGTATATGGTATTCTTTTCCACTTGTCTGAAAGATCGCTGAATGTTTGGTGTGCAATGTCAAACAGCAGCTCCGTTCCACACCAGAAGGGGCTGCATTTCAGTTGTCATGGAGGTGAACTTCAGGTTAGTCCGCAAATCAGTACATAAAGCACTTTGAGAGGAAGTTGCTATTAAAGGCTCTAATTCAGCAAAGTACTGAAGCACAGGCTTAAATTAATGGGACTACACACATGCTTAAAGTGAAGCAAATACTTAAGTGACTTGCTGAATCAGGGCCTAAAGGTGAGATCCTCATCTAAATCTCTACTCTTATACCTCCCATCTTCTCTCTCCCTCCACTTTTCCCCATCCTTCTGCCTTAATCTTCCCCTCATCAGCTCCCATTCAAAGCTTAAAGCTGATGCTTCAACCCCAGCAACCCTCCTGAATGGCCTACACAAATTGGGAACATTTTATAATCTTGCTATGGAAGAGTTTTAGAACTCTTCTGTCCCTGCTAGCCCTGAAACCGCATTAATTCCTGAGATTGTAACTGACTGCCCCTTTAAGAAACACAAATGCAAAGTAACGCCTCAAGGGAATTACAGTGCATCTCGTCAGCAGAAAGTGGGCATAAAAAGGCAGATCTCACCAAATCTCTTCATCTAGAATGCTACTAGCTCCAATCATAACAAAGCTTCCCTGGGAATACACTGCTATGCAAAACCGATGGATTTCCTGTGGATGGTAAGTTCTTTCCCGACAACTGAAAATAAAGATTCAAAAATACATTTGTGATATCAGAGATATTTGTTTTAATTACAGATGTGTGAATAACTGATTTTTTGGTTTACCTGCAATTCTGGGGGGAAAAAAATCATTTCAGGTGAAACCAAACATTTCATTTTGATTTTGAGCTTCTTTTAAAATGTTTTTTTTAAAGAAACAAAGAAATTCCAAAAGAAAAATAAAGTCATTTTGAAGCAAAAAATCAAATCAGATCATTTTGAACAAAACCGTTTAATTTTTTCAGATTTTTTGTAGGTTTTTTTTTTCCTGAGTGAAACATTTCAATTAAATCAGCACAAATTCACCAGGATCAGATCTCAAGGGGGGAAAAAGAAGCCTGGAAACTTGAAGGATGTTATGACTGAATGTATCAAGCGAGAAAGAAATCCACCAACTCTCGGTGCAAGACCCTTCTCCTTTGCACCTCTGGCCAATTAGAGCAGCCTCCCTGATTCTCTCTGTCTTGTCAAGTCTTTTGCCTGTATCAAAAATAAAGATTTTTTTTTTCTCTCCAGTGGAAATATTACACACAGCAAAACATTTTTGGTACAACTCGTCACAAAAAGTTGCATTGTACTCAGAAACTCACCTGCAATGGAACATGTTTATGCTCTGTTTATCTGGTTTGTTCATTGGTTACAAGAGGACCTTATCTTTAAGCTGCATTAAGCAGCTTCACCTGAGTGGCTCTACTGTCTATGATGGCCTTGACGGGTATTTTAAACTTGGCTAACTAACAGAGCCATGGCCTTGGAATGATGGGCATGTAGCAAAACAGCTCTGGGTCCATTTTTTCCCCTCATTGTTCATCTGAGGAATTCCTGGGGAGAGAGAGAGAGAGCGAGAGAAGGTGAAAGGTCTTGAATCCACTGGCAAAGGTAAACAGATTGTCATCCTTTATTTAGGGAATGGAAATGAAAACCAGAGACAATTCTACAGAAAAGAATGCATCCCTTGGCTAGAATGTTATTGAAGACAGAGTTAGATTGTCCAATCCTCCCTCACATGAGATGAGCACTTTCAGAAATAGCCAATGAGTCCCATGAGTAAGTGTTCACCAAGGAGTGTAAGGCTTCAGTAATCTGTCTTTTCCTGGCTCCATCCTTCTTCATAGAAAAAGAGCCCGATCCTGATCACAAATCCACCAGCAAGAGTCAGGTGTAACTCCATGGAAGTCGGTCGAGTTACACTGGTGTAAAACTAGCACAAATGAGACAGAGTCAGGCTGAAAGCTTCTCAATATATTCAGTTTTATTATAATTCATCAGTTATTTACTAAGATTGGGGCCTCACTAGGGGCTGTGCAAACACATCATAAGAGACGATCTCTGCCCCAAAGCAGATTCCTAAATCTTTTGCCAAGATTTTCAGAAGTGTCAAGAGATTTTGGGTGCCCAACTTGAGAAAGCTTTCAAGGGGCCTGATTTCCAGAAGCTATACTCAGTCCATTCAGGCCCTTAAAGGTACCTCAAGCTGGGCACCCAAAAGCACTTGTTATTTTTGAAAATCTTGGTCTCACAGCCTGAGTAGGCAATGCAGACAAAGGAAGTGTTATTAGCCTCTTCTACGGATGAGGAATTTAAGCACAGAGAGATTAAATGGTCTGCTCAAAGTCATAGATGGAATCTATAGCAGAGTCAGAAATAAAACTCCGCTCTGCTGAGTCCTACTGCAGTGATTTAGCTACTAGACCCCTCTCCCTGGGAATATAAGTGCCGAGGAAAGACTATGGTAGAATAGAGGAGGAAGACAAGGTTGTCACAGTTCTGAAATGCCAAGCTTGACCTGGCAGACTGAGAAGTATTAAACTAAAATACCACCTCCTAACCCTACAATTCAGAAGGAAAAAAATCAGACCAGTCTGCGTTGCTTCATAAAACCCATTAGCCCTGGGTGCTTTTTACCTAAGGTTAAACTTGAACCAATGCCTTCATGCTCTGCTTATTGAATACATCTAATCTCATTAAACCACATTATGACCTTTTGTTTTATAAATCTATGTGCTTCCCAGAGCTTCCGGAGAATTAACTCATGAACTCACCACCAAATGTCTCCCCCTATCAGCTCTGCAGTGGAAACTCTTCCAGCACTTGGGTTAGAATACTAATACCTTATGATTACATAGCACCCGATGACCAGAAGGATCTCAAAGCGCTTTACAGCTATTGCCTGGATCCAGCTGGCTGCTGCATGGCTGTGCTAGTCATTACAGGAAATCTCATCCAGCAGAAGGACAAGACCCCACTGTAATGCCTAAATTAGGGAGACAGATTGTAGCAGCCAGGGGGATGCAGAAGGGGTTTTCTGGCCAGGAGATATGGTGAGATGCCATGCTAACTAGCAAGCATGCTTTATACATACAGGGCCGCTTTACCCACCAGTGAAATGTGGCCACCTCTGGGGCAGAACACAGCAGCTCTTTTAATGGCACACAGCAACGCTGCACAAAAGCTGAGGACAGGAAGTGAAGAAGTTGGTAGCTGTGATCCTGCCCTGGCTTACACCAATCTAAATCAAGAATAACTCAGGGTTACAGTTGTTTAAAGCCAGTGTGAGAGCAGAATCAGGCCCACTGTACTAACTGAAATTGCAGTTTATTATTATGGTAGCACACAGGGGCTCCCACCATGAATAAGGCCCTAGTGTGCAAGGCGCTGTCCAGACATATACATTTCAAGTGTAGATAATACGAAGTTTGCTACAAGCCTCAATATATTTCTATAGTTAATAAGTAGCTATATCTGAAATGTATGTGTTTGGCATCTGCTTGGAGCACTGGGTTAGACAGGGTCTACACAAGGGATTTGCGCTGAAACAGCTATGGACCCCAAGATAGACAAGGCCTTGCTGCGAGCCGGTTTAATTGATGCGGGGTTTAAACACACCAGAGGCCATGGAAGCTTTTTTTAATCTACTGAGGATCTCAGTACAGCTAACATCACAGCAGTATCTAGCCGTGCTGGGTAACTGTGAAAAAAAAATTCCCTTTGCAGAGAGTGCGCATTAGTTGTCCAAATCTGACCACGAAACCCTAAGCAAGAAATCACTTTATTCTTCAGGAGTGTCAACATTAAAATTGAAGCGGGAAAGGCAACTGATGGAATCAATTCCCCCTGCATGATCTCTGGCTCTAACGGCAAACAGCCAGCCTGGAAAACGCAAAGCATTTAAGCGTGTGAATAGTGAAAACAACGGGACGATTGAGCTCATAAAAGTTAAGCACGTACTTAAGCTCTTTACTCTATCAGGGCTAGAGTGCTCAGCATCTTGCAGGACTGAGCCCCAGAACACAATGGAGAACTTCCCGGGTCCATTCAATTCTGTAGCGTACTTAGCTTCCCATCTGGCTAGCTTTTATCCAAAGGCTTGCAGGGTGGGGGGGAAAGCCATCCGCTAATTGGTCACCATTTTCTTTTCCTAACAGAAACAGACAAGTTAGTATTAAAGTACGACATGTGCACCAGCTGCTCTGCAATTTTTCTATTTGCTTTGCTAATGTGCGTAAATGTAACACTCTGGCACAGGATCTGATACTGCAAGCTGCACACACATTAGCAATCCCACTGAAGTCAATGGGAATATTTGTGTAAGGATTGTTTAGGTAATAATCTGTAGGGTTGGGCCCAGAGTAGTTTTCTCACTTAAGCTCAGATCTCTTTCCCCTTCTTCCCCACAGCCCAAAATCTGATTACGAAGGGAAGGTGCATTGTCTTGGGGCAGCAGTAGGGAAGTGAGAATCAGGACTCCTCGGTCCTACTCCTGACTCTGCCACTGATACACTTTGTGACCTTTGGCAAGTCACTTCACCTGTTTGTGCCTCAGTTTTCCCATCTGTAAAATGAGGATGATACTCCCCTATCTCTCAGGGGTGGATTGTAAGGATTAATTCATTCAGGATTGTAAAATGCCTTGAGATACTGGGATTAAAGGCCCATGAAATATTCAATTATGTAATGAAGTGACCTGAAGGCTCCTTGCATTATAGATAATTAAGCAATTATCCTCTTGAAAACTGGCTCCGAGGACTGTTAATGTTACAGTAAACGGTTATAGTCTCAAACTCAGTGTACTAGGTGTACGTATCATCCTCAGATGGATGAAAAGCCAGTCAGTTCTGAGGAGCAATGAATTTAAATCACATCCCTCATCAGAGGAGCTCTCGACTCGGAGGGGGATTGAGCTGGTGAGCCAGCAGCGTATTGAGGCCTTAGAACTCTAACCAGGCACAGCAAAATTGACACTACAAGAAGGGCACCTACCCCCCAGGGCAAATCCAGAATGTCATCTTACCAGGACCTGGGGCTGCGTAGGGAAATCAAGCCTCTTGGTCACACAGCATGGATGCTCACAGAGAGCACAGACTGCTGGGATCTTTTACATTGCAAGGGAAGTGTTACCATTCTCATTGGAGAGAAAAGGTTAAGGTCGAAGAACTCCGGAGATCTAGGTTCAGTTCCTGACTCAGCAACAGGCTTTCTGTGCACCCCAATACGAGTGATTTAATTTCTCTGGGTCTCAGTTCTCCATCTGTAAAATGGGGATAACAATACTCCTTCTCCCACCCTCGGTCTGTCTTCTCTATTTAGATTGTAAGCTTTTCAGTACAGGGAACTGTGTTCTGCACCGAGCACAATGATACCCTGATCTTGGCTGGGGCCTCTGGGCACTACCATAATCATCAAAATTATAGTGGTCTTGCCCAGTGCCAGGAACTCAACCCCCCGTGTTCTTATCCCAGCTCTGACAACGGTTCCCTTTGACCTTGGGGGAGTCACTTCTCGTCTGCGTGATTCACTTTCCTCATTTATTAAATGGGGCTAGTAATACTGAACGGCCACTCCGAAATAGATAGATTAAATAGTTTATGGTGTCTTTCAGCAGCATATGGTGTCTGGTTTATGGTGTCTTTCAGCAGCATAAGGCAAAGGTCCACGGCGGCAGAAAATCCAGCAGGGACATTTTACTCCTGCTACAGATAAGCCACAGCCAGCTCGCCAGGCCTGATCCTGTGAGGTGCTAAGCGCCCTCAATTCCCACTGATCTTGGAGGATTGATGCTGTGAACAGCAAGCTCCCAAAAATGCACAACCCCTTTTTCTCCCCAGCATAGGTTTGTATTGAAAACTGGCCCTGATTTGCCTCCTCTGTGCAACGTACGCCGTAACGGAGAGAGCAACGCAAGCCCAAGCACAGAGATGCCTCAGCCGGAACCCACAAGTCTCTGGCGGGTTAAAAAGAAAGCAATCCTCAAGCATGTTTGAAGCAACAGGGTGTCAGCTGGAGCCTGCACTGAGGCTGCTCCTATCATTCATAACTAAATCAGGAGGTAGCAAGTTGCTATAGTAATGGCAACAGAACGGGGCATGGCTGCTCCTCAGAGGGCGTGAAACACCGCCTTCTTAAAGAAACCCTGGGGCCTGGTTCTCCTCTTTCCTCGGGGTTGTCTACCCGCACCTCTGCACTGGTTTAGTTAAACCACTGAAAACCCCTGTGTAGAAGTTCTTATTCTGGTTTAAGAGGGGCTTACTGCCGTTCAGCTTAACTGGCTTAAATTGACATGAGCCTGGTTTAAGCCCAGGTTAAGTGCCCACAACAGGGCGCTGTGGTCAGGGGGACGCTGTGGTTAGGAGTCAAGGAGAGGGGTGGGCCTGGGTGTGAGGCCACGGAAGGGAGCTCAGGGCAATGGGGTGGAAGGGAGGCAGCCGTGGCCAGGGAGGATGGGCGGGAAGCCCAGGGAGGCAGTGGGGGCCAGGGGCACCAAAATACAAGTTTGTCTCAGGCGCCATTTTCCCTAATGCCGGCCCGGAAGCATCTGGCACCGGTTTCACTAGATCAGTTTACAAATCACATCTTAAGTTAAATCTGCATATAGACAAGCCCTGATAGCGGTGAAAATCAGGAGTGACCCCAGTGAGATCAAGGGAGTTAAACGGGTGTAAGGGGAGATCAAAACTAAACCTGGTCTCCTTTCATATTCCCCGAGGTTATTTCCAGTTTCTATGAGTAAAAGGCTTGACGCTGAGTGGTACCCATCACGCTCGTAGTCCTGTTGACAAGCGCCCAGGGAGGTGTTCCTCAACACAAATGCTCCGTGTCAGAATCTGACCCTTCCAAAAGAAATGTTCTTTTACTGTGGAGAAATCGGCACTTGCGCTGGACTTCCAGAACTGACCCCCTGTTGTAAAATTCAGGGGGCTGGTTTAAAAACACCATCAAAAAGACTGTGGATGTTAAATTCTATCGGTCCAGTTCTCAGTTGTGATTGGCCTCGATGCTCCTCTCCAGCAGTACAAAGGGGTCAGAAAGCCACTGGAGATGCACTTCAGGAATTACCCCAGTGCAATGGGCCTCACTGCCCCATATAAAGCCAGCACAAGACTTCTTCCCCACTCAGTATAAGGATCGTGTCGGGGATGGGCTGGGACGATCAGAGGAAGGGGACATTTGAGGGGGACAAAGGGGAATGTAGCCAGAGCACTGTGCTAAGGGTGCATGGGGAGCAGAGTGTAAATTATAGCCGCCCTAAGGCTGATCTAATTTACACCATGGGCAGGCAGGTCCCCAACCTTCTCCAGAACACGGGGAGCACAAGGTGGTTTATAAAAACCCCTCCCCATTGTTCCCATGCCAAGCAGAGCAACCCAGAATCAGAGCCTGAAGCAGTTTTCCCTACGGCAAAAGCCTTGGGCTGGATTCTGCTTGCCATTACAACAACGTAAATCTGGAGTAACTCCAGTGGATTCACACGAGAGCAGCATGTGGTCCCTTTCACTCTCACATGGGCACTTTGGGTTGCTAAATCTTTCTTTTCTTCACCCAAAAAGTTGAGGAGCTGCAGCAGCCTGCTTAGCCATTTGCTGGGCATCGTCAAACCACCATTTAACGCTGCTCCCCCGGGCGCGCCCCGCTTTAATTTACTCAGCTGGGTGGCAGTCAGTTCCGATAGGCCAGGCTGATGCCTTTGCTTGCCTCATAGATCTTACCTTGTCTTCTCCAATTTTTAATGCTCACCAGTTCTCCGCACAAAATGGGGATCTGTAACAAGCAATTATTTCAAAGGAGGCCCTGTTGCTGTGGTTACCAATCGTCAAGCTCAGACATTTGCAGGCTCCGTCGAGATCAGCCTTCCTCTCGGTGATGTCCTGTTCTTTATATTACAGAAAGATTTTTGCTCTCAGGCACCCGGCCAGATAGAAAGTTGGGCTAGGAATGAGTAAACGCCTCAGGATGTGGGTCATTCCTGGAGGTCCCGTATAAATCACAAGGCTGACGAGAAATAAGGAAAACAACAGATGTGATATTTTTAGCCTGTCCGTGAAGATTTCGCAAGGATTTATGACAAGAAAATATCCTGAGGACCTGGCTTTCTCTCTGTTATTATTATGTGCATTACAGTAGCATCAGAAAGCCACAGCTGTGACCAGGGCCTCTTTGTGCTTGGTGTTGTACAAACACACAGTATCAGACAGGTCCTGTTCCAAAGACCCAGAATCTAAGGAGACAAGACTGATAAAGGGTGGACAGGAGGAACTGAGTTCCCGAGAAATTAAGGGCCAGAGTTTCCAAAGAGCTCAACCTATTTAGTGCACGTTGGGTGCTGGCTGCTTCAGAAAACTTGGCCCTTATAGAAGTGTCTAAATAGGAGCAGAGCTCTTTTGCAGGCCAGGCCCTAATTGTGGGTGCTGAGCACTTGAAAACCTGACCCTGAGTTCTTTCAAAAACCAGGCCACATGTGGCTTGTCCAAATTGCAGAGCCCACAATTGAACCAGGCCTCCTGAGTCCCAGTCCAGTGCCTTAACCATAAGACCATCTGCTCTCTCTTTTCTCCCCATCCCCTTTTGTGGCTCTCCCTGTTTATAACCAGGTAATCTCCAGGAGGACCTGCCTCAGAGTTATATATTACTTTGTGCTTGATAAAAGAAAAGGAGTACTTGTGGCACCTTAGAGACTAACCAATTTATTTGAGCATAAGCTTTCGTGAGCTACAGCTCACTTCATCGGATGCATGTAGCTCACAAAAGCTCATGCTCAAATAAATTGGTTAGTCTCTAAGGTGCCACAAGTACTCCTTTTTTTTTTTTTGCAAATACAGACTAACATGGCTGTTATTCTGAAACCTGTCTTTGTGCTTGATAGTTACTGCAGTTTAATTTCACATGTGTCAGTAAGGAGGGGGGCAACCCTAGATCTAGGTACCCTTAAATCCCATTCAAGAGGGTTGTAATGGGATTGCCACTCACCCCTGGTGCACCTCCTTGCATCTAGGTCTGGGAAGGTACCTCCCTCGCTGCTCGTTGCTCACTCTGCAATGGTCTTTCTTCTGGTAACTTGGCCCTCTGGCCAGGTCATCATTTAGTCCACCTCTTCTGGGGTTACAAAGTCCAACAGAACAACTCCAGGCAGCGTTCAGCCCCCCTGCTCAGGACTCTGTCCCATTACCCGTGGCTGGTACGTGAAACCAGGCCCATCACGACTCCAGGTTCCAGCCCAGGGATCCTCTAACCACAGTCCAGGTCCTCAGTCCCCATCCCTTTGCCATTTCCCTGGGCTCCTTCCTACCAAGCCTCTCTATATTCTCTTCCTGGATTCTAGGTTTACTACAGGATACTCTACTCCCCACGGCTACTTCATCCCCTTTAGCTCATCAAAATATACAAAGTAAATATCCTTAAATCAAACTCTAATAAGCTGTCAAGGAGCACTTTTCTTCACCTATCTGTATATTTCAATTACTGATAGAAATATATTTTTGTCAGTTTGTGTGTACAGTGAAATCGACATTTACCGATGAAAGTCTGTTGCTTCCAAGACGAAATGGTCTGAAACTGGGTCCTTTCATTTCTGGAGTTATTGAGCCAGATCCTCAACTGGTGTAAATCAGTGTAGCTCCATTGGCCCTGCATCCTTAATGCTTTTATAAAGCATTTTATAGGGTGCTTTTATAAAGTTGGGAAAGGGGTGGAATCAAACTCAAGAGTAGAGCGATATAAGGTGAAACAAATGAGACATCGTCTAACTCCATTCCCCACCTACCTTGAAGAAAAAACACCAGTGTCTCTTTTCCCTCCTTCTCCCTTGATGTCCTACAGTTGTAGACTTTACTGGATCTTCCATGTGGAAGTGACCTATTCTATGCTCAGGAATGCCAGAAAGGAAAAAGAAAAAGAGAACAGGATTTTTAATTCCACCATAATCTATTCAACTGGGTTTCTTGCAAACACTTCATTTCAGGGACCACGCAGACCAGAGCCAGGAAAATCCAACTAAATATGGACACTTAAAAAAACAACATCAAAATAAAGATAATCTGCAAAACCCATACAGCATATCAATCACTAGGAAGTTGACCACTCTGTAGTTTAAGGTTAGGAAGTAATATAAATTAAACCATTTGTCATTCCCAGTTGCCTGAAATGAGGAAACAGCCAATTTTCCTCCCATTAGACGACGTTCTCACGTGGGCTGCTGGCTACAGACCACTTTTGAAAATCTGGTCCTTCATTTCTCTGAGAGAAAGCATCCAAGACCTACAAAGAAAGGTGAGTTCTCACCAGAAGGTAGCCTGAGCGCAAATCCTAGTGAAGACAAGCCAATATGAGTTTTAGCTAGAGTTAGCAGGTTGAGTTAGGATACATCTTCTCTGCAGAGTTCAACTGAGCTTTTACTTCGGTGTTGCTCCAACCCAGCTCCTGTCAATGTACAAAACCCTCTGATCTGAATTTAGTGGTGCTTTCAACCCAGCCTAGCTGGCCCATCCTGGGACTAAGCAGCATCTGGGTTTTAGCGTATTCACTCAGGTTGATAACCTGCCCATTTTGCAGTGAGGATGCAGGTTAAATCCCACAAGTGCTAATAGTTCTCCAATGCCTTCCCCCAATTCCCCCCATGTGACTAGAAGGACAGACAACTTGTCACTGGGAAAGAACTTTAGAGCAGCTCAGCTCACTGCAGCACAGAGAACTATGCAATATCTCCCCCCGCCCCCAAAAGCCCTAGAGAGACACACAGAGGTGACTGCAGTGCCAGGGAGGACACAGTTATGTGCTAAAATAACCCAGGTGCTCAGACCTGAATGTAGATCACATGAGTTCGCTCAGCCGTGAAGACATAGCCATAGTGCACCCTGGTGTTTAACTTGCGCTGCTAACTCATGTTAAAACTACGCCTGCCTCGTTTTCACTAGAATTTGAACTCAAGTTAAGAACACACCTTTTTTGTCACGAAAACAAGGCCTAAGTGACTTTGGAGACTAAATCCCACTGACTAAATCCCTACCCTCTCTGGCTCTGTTCTCCAGCTGTCAAACGAGGATAAAATCTTCCTTGTTACGCCCCACCCCCCCCTCCACCCACCCACCCACACACTTTGTTTGTTTGTCTTGTCCATTTAAAATGCAACCTCCTCAGGACAGGCACTCTCTCACTCTCCGTGTGCCCAGCACTCAGTCCAATGGGGCCCTGATCTTGGTTGGGGCAGCTAGGTACTATTGTAATACAAATAACGATAGGTAAGATCGTCCAGTAGGGAGCAACGTTTCCTGCAGTGCTGCACATTGAGACTTTCGAGCAGGGTGACTTGGGCCATTCAAGGTGGGGGGGGGGGGGGCTTGTTTTCATCCCTTCTGATGCAATTTGTTTTCAGTTCTCTGTGCTTGTCCCTGGTTAATGAGTTTTTAGTGCACTGACCCCTACTTAATACACTGGTTCAAAAAATGAGAATAATTAATCAATTATCGGAGAGGGGCCGGCTCGCTATCATTCTCACGTACTGATCATCCTCACCGCCATGAAACGTCCCTTTTCGGATGATCAGTCCCTTAGCACAATGAGAGACCTTCCTGCTCTGCAGCCTTTGCAGCCTGGATGGTATAATATGGCCACAGGCCAGGCTTTGTCCCTTTTGTGCTTGGCTCACTTCCAATGACACTGTTTCCTGTTGGAAAATACTTCCCCCACCCCATCCATGTGAAATGACCACTGCTGTTAACAGGCAATCCTTTGTGAAGCACGCTTTATGTTTTTGCTCCTCAATAAAGGCTAATTCTGTATTACCAAAGGAGTTTATGAATCCCTCAAACTGGGCAGTTTATAAACATCTTAATTCTCATGCTGCAGCTGGCTTGGTATTAATGTTTTAATTGCAAACTACCGTATGTCTGTCAGTAGCATCTAGATGCTGCCATGGGTCCCATTGTGCTAGCTCCTATACAACACACAGTATGAGACTCCTTGCCCCAGAGAGCTCACTGTCTAAATAGAAGGGGGAGCGGGGGGTGGGGGGAGGAATGACAGAGAGATTAAATGACATGCCCAACGTCACACAGAAAGTCAGTGGCACAGTCAGGAATAGAACCCTGGTCTTCTCAGTCTCGGTCCAGTGCCCTATCCACTGGGAAACACTGCGTCTCTGGTAACTGCACCTTTGCCCAAGTCCCTATGGACTATTTAAAGATAATAATCCCATATTGCAAATCATGTCTAGTTTGTCTTAATAAATAACATGATTACTGGAGAAGGTCAAGAAGCCCTTGCTCAATTTTTATTTGGCTCTTACTTGGACAAATTCCTCCTGCGTTCACTGAACTCTGAAGAGGCTGAGTCCCTGCCAGGATGTGGCCCACTGAAATCACAATAGCCATTGCCTGCCACCCTTATTGAACCTCCTTGTACCTTAATTTCCCCGTGTACACAATGGGGCTAAAGATACTTAGGGTATGTCTACACTACGGGATAAGGTCGAATTTATAGAAGTCGGTTTTTTAGAAATCGGTTTTATATAGTCGAGTGTGTGTGTCCCCACAGAAAATGCTCTAAGTTCATTAAGTGCATTAACTCGGCGGAGCGCTTCCACAGTACCGAGGCTAGAGTCGACTTCCGGAGCGTTGCACTGTGGGTAGCTATCCCACAGTTCCCGCAGTCTCCGCTGCCCATTGGAATTCTGGGTTGAGATCCCAATGCCTGATGGGGCTAAAACATTGTCGCGGGTGGTTCTGGGTACGTATCGTCAGGCCCCCGTTCCCTCCCTCCCTCCGTGAAAGCAAGGGCAGACAATCATTTCGCGCCTTTTTTCCTGAGTTACCTGTGCAGACGCCATACCACGGCAAGCATGGAGCCCGCTCAGGTAACCGTCACCCTATGTCTCCTGGGTGCTGGCAGACGCGGTACGGCTTTGCTGCACAGTAGCAGCAACCCATTGCCTTCTGGCAGCAGACGGTGCAATACGATTGGTAGTC